GATTCAATAACAATACTTGATTTAAATTTACCATGTCTGTTTTAATTTTTTAATAAGCATCCAAAGTAATCGGCTCATTTTTTTTTTTATTAAAAGACGGCGGGACTGTATGTCTATTAATGCTAGGTTGACTCTTAAGAGTATCTGGATATCTGGATTGAGCGTACGTTAATAGGGCTTTCGTCGAGCAATCTGGCTCAGATAGTTTTATAAGATACACCCAACGTTATAGTAAAAAATAAGCACGGTTTCTACGTCGAATGGCAAACTTTCACACTTTTATTTATCTTGGAACCGAAACAATATCAACATACCAGTGTAGCAAGAAAAATTTGCACGTAACAYCGCGTTCAATTTTCGACCGAATTMAGGCTTTTTACTGATATTAGAAATAATGTGTGGGAAATAAAAGATTATATCAGCCTTTAACATRCAGGGAAAAATGGTCTATGCATCTGAAACTGTCATTTTAGAAATTCCGTGTTCAAATTGAGAGGAAATCGAGGTAAATTCAACAAGCATTGTCCATTTTGTAAATACAGACGAGCGAWAAATAAGCAATTTAAATATCTAAGGTGTTTTTAATGAATGTAGAGAAACTCGAAAGCAAATATCAGTTCGTGTTATAAAAAGCATATTAACGGCTTAGCACCTTACAGAACTCGGCTTCAGATCAGTCGGCCTGCTTTTTTTCCAGCGATTTAGATCAAATGAAAATAGTTTAGGCGAAACAAGGCTTAAGTTCTATAATTAAAACTAATTTGTAAAATTCATGTTCTTAGTATTCAAATCTTTTCCCAATTTGACAACGCTAAGTAGTTTGCCACGACCCAATGAAAAAAGGATCCTTTTTAATTGAAGTAGGTTAATAACAAAAGGGAAGCGAGTRCAAATACGACATGCATCTCAGGACTAAATGCTTTATCGTGAAGTATACTACGTCTTGAACAGCGGGTTGTGTCATGTAAATGATCAAAAAAAATTATGATTAATCGGTAGCTGGAATCAATGGAGGAACAGAGCCGAGAGTTCCGTGTCCATTTGAATAGTAACAGCTTTTTGCTACATAARCAGAATCTGCAAAAAAAGCTCGATAAATACGAAGAGGACTTTGCAAGGACAATCAARGATATTTCTGAACGTCAAAAACTGCTCAGTTGCTCACTGTCTTCAGAAAGTGAACACTCTGCACCYAGCACATCTACTAGCACCGACAGCTTGGCGTATGGAATCGGCGAAGGAAGCCGCAATGTTAAAACAAGAAAGATATCCAAAAGCGAGAGCTTTGAAAGAACTARCCAGAGTTCAACTAGAAGTGCTATTTCACTTCAAGGAGAAAGGCGAAGTGATATACTACCGACAAAAGCGTGGTCATTTCCTTCGCGCGCTAGTAGTACAAATAACAGGCAACTGAATAACACAGATGAAAATTTAAATGACAAAATCTTACATCGACAAAAGAGAACTCTGCGACGACAAAAACGCGTTGAGCGAATCGATATTCCGAGCGATTTGAGCCAGTACCAACGATCGAACGCTCGATTAGACAAAATTTCTGTCGCCAACTTCGCCAGCGATCAAAAAGATAAACTTCAAATCACTTTTACTGCGAAAAGTCAACATGAGTATCAAAATGATATGTCAACAGAACCTGGTCAACGATCAACACAAGCAGGCTTGAGAGAAGAAAATGACATAAACAAACCACACGAAGAGTACCTATTCAAAAACAAGATCCACATGCCATCTTTATTACGACCAGCTAATTTTCCTCCTACAACAAATTTACAAGACCAAAATTTCAATAATAACGCAAACATTAAATCCGTTGACGATATTTCACGAACTGTTCTCGAGCGACCCGTGAATGCAAGATTATCTAGAAGCCTACAGTCTTTGAGTCCTATATCTGAAAAGGAAAAAGGAGTATTGGGTCCAGTTAGAAGGTATACTTTTAAYGGCGATAGTGAAGAAAATGAAAGTGCTATTCCTCCTTTTGAGAAGCAGGTGATTAAAGCACTAAAGAAARATCAATATTTACCACAATGCCATAGAAACGCTTGGAGCACGGACACTAATGAGAAGGATTTCAATAAATCAAATTTGAATATCGATTCTGGGMGAAAAACGCTCACAAGGAATCAAGACTCTAAAGAAAGGAAGAAAAGCAATGGTTCTTCAGCTTCAAAAGGATTCTTGCAACATTCAAACGGCAAAATAGATACAAAGATTGCTAAAAAAGAGGTCACTAATGATCAGAAATATTCAAATGACAAGAACCCTAGAAGAAAACACAGCGGAAAGTTGAATATTGCCGGAAATGAAGAGGTAGGCACTTATGAAAAAAATCGGCAAAGAAGCGGCTCTGTAAAAGAAGAAACTCGATCGCTTAATAGTTCGAAAGACACAGCARGGAAMRCGAATACGAACACTGGTTGTGACAATTATTTACATAAAACAGAGCTTCGACCCAGTAAAGCAACTTCAAGAAAAAAGAGCATTGTTCGAAAACAAGGAAACAATATTATTCAAAATGAGCCAAACAGTAGCGGCGCTGCAAGACCATCGATCCAATCATTTGACAGCTGTGACAAATACACGGAAAGTGAAATAASAGAGAAARCTGCTGGCAATGAACGTWCACTCYATAATAAAAGGTCYCTATTGAGAAAAAATAGCGGGGAGCGAAATATTACCGGAAATCAAAAGGGTAGCATAGCCATTAAAAAATATGATAATGATGTTTTTTTGAACAATGTCGATGAGATTACCAAAAGCAGTGGACGTCATTATGAAGATAAGCAAGAGCTTGACGCCCCAAATAACGATTCRAAAACAATTAAAGATTCTGATTTTGGAGATAACAAAACGTCTAATACAGACCCATCTTATCAGGTGCTAGGAACTGACAACGATAAGATTTATTCTTCCATTAAGATAAAAGGAGAGGGAAAGAAAGTGGAAGAGACAACAAGTAATGTAGATCAACAACTGGCCAATCAGAGAGAAGGACAGCGACAGATTATCTYAACCAATGAAATTAAAGTACAGAAACCGGAAGAAGTTGTTAATTCACAGACCATAATAGTCAATCAGCTACAATGGCAAAATAGTAATGGATCCGACGGTCCTATCGAGTCAGAGAAGAAGGCCGAAGAAAACCATAATTTGTCGTCTCAATCAGCCAATCAGCAGCAAGAACATAATGGAATTGAAGCCATTAATCGGAACAAAGAAGAAAGACCGCAAGAAAATCTACCACGATCAAAAGGCTGGAGGAAATTACAAGCGATTCCCTTGGCTAGAATCCAACAACTTCAAACAACTGGGGAAGAACACAAGRAACAAACGTTGAAAGACTTCGAGGACAAAMGCTCCAATGCTGGTCCTGGACTTCTGAGCTTCAGGCAAGTAGTTCTCGCAGCCATAAAAAGAAAACAAGAAGAAAAAGCAGAAGCTGAACGCAAAAGACAACTTTTATCCAAGGAACGAATGATAGCAATCCAACAGCCAACCGAAAGCTTTCTCAGACAATCATTTGACAAAGCAGTGCATCATGGGCATGAACGACGACCTCCCCCTSATAGGACGCAAGGGGGTGTTCAGTTTCGCACCGTAGTAAGAAGTCTTCAAAGTTTCCGTGACCTTAGCGAGACAGTAAACAGTAATAGGGCGAAGAGAGCGGAGCGAATTCGTAAGAAATCTAACGTGACTTTGCCATACACTCGAAAACTCGAGTTATTATCACAAGAAAATAAAASTGTTGGTGAGATGATGAAAGATGTCGAAGATTGTCGGTATTTAAGGAACAAAAAATCTTTATAGAAGAAAATGTAAAAAGTAACAAAAAAATAATAATTGCAAAAATAATTACAGAAATTGTTATTATTTATTTTTCAGTCTAAATATGTCAACCTCATGGATGAGCTAGTCTGATGTTTTTGAGTGGTATTATATAGCAAAGCTACGAATACGGCACCATCATGAATTAATATTAAGAAATTATTGGATGAGCAAGGGGCAAAATCGCATTTCATTATATCAAATAATAAGTGTTTCAAACATCAAACCGTGATATATTGCCAATATATAGTGTGATATAACCCTGACTCTAAGTTTAATACAGCATTTGCTATTAACATAAATTTAGTGCAGCACAGCTTCATACTGAAAATAATAGACTGACCAATATAAAGGTATGCTGAAACCTTTCTTTAAAGTGTTGAATATATCGGTTCAAAACTATGGTAGTTGAGACCGAAAAGGCATATGGGAAGCAAGTATAGATGTATACAGTTGACTGCACTGAAAATGTTGCAAAGAAATTGAACTCGCATACAATTTGGTCTCAGTTCGCAAGATTCATCATTTCAACCCTAAACAAAATCGACATTTACAATAAAAAAGAACACAAAAAAGCAAAAGTTATGCAAATTAGCACAATTGTTATTTGTTTACAATTCATGACAGGAGTATTTTGAAACATTATTCAACACGAAACTCTCTCACAGGGAGATGATTTATACAAAAAAACTCACAGAATTCGAAACTTCTATAAAAAGTTTAAACACCAAGGAGGACTTAGTAATGTTAAGTGAAAGAGAGACAATAATGTTGAAAGAAAAACAGGAAAAAAGATAAAATCTAGAAACGAAACGAGTTATGCAACCCCGACGTGTGTTGTTGTTTTTTCGATATCGTTTACACTACACTCTAATGTGCCAGAATAATTTCCAAAACGCGTTCCCCAATTAAGGGATGGYAAAAGTGTCACATTCTTTTAATATTGATCCGTATTGTCACTTTGTAACAGAGAAATAGGAAGTGAAAGATTTTAATGATGTCAAACGYAAGTCAAACGTTAGATTAATCTTACATAATATCCTTTAAGGCCATGTTTACATTGAGAGGCGGATTTACAGAAAACGCAAAAAAAGCGAATTAATTAAATAGTGTGAAAGAAAGAAATGAAGTCAGTAATGGACACCAAACTARCAAAAAGTCTTTCGGGTGAGAAAACCAGCGATTTGAGTACGTAATGGCCGAATGAATGACGTTATTSAAGTGTCAGCTGCTTCAAGCTAAGACAGGTGAAGCAAAACAAGCTCTSTGTGAGTTTACATTAGCTWCTAAAGAGGAAAAAATATTTAAAAAAATCAAAACAAGATCATCATATTCAACCTTTGGWAGAGAAGAAAGAAACCCGAGGTGGAAGAAACAGATGTCAGAGCCATAAAAATACTTTTACTAATTATCAGGGATGTACTACAACTAAGTTATTRGTCGAAGTAACAACGAAGAGGATTTGTATATTCACTTTGGAATATTCGATAGTCTTATCAAGAGTCCTCTAAAAGTACTTACWATATGCTAACATGAGAGGTATTTGATGTTCTTAAAGATACAAGGTTTCGCTAGATGTTTCACAAGGGCAATAATAGACTTAAGAACATAATTGCCGTAMTTTAATTCTGGAAAAGAGTTATTGAATCCAACTTGGAAAACTGACACAAGTACACCACGGAAAGCAAAGCAATATCGGGCAAGTCAGTAAAAAGTTTAGTTAGGTGTTTTAAATTAATTGTACACTAACTGAAAGCACTTTGTTTTCGGGAACCATAAGTGGAAAATATCCGCTGCCAGGCAATTCTGACAGAACGTTATGGATTTGAAAAGGTTTTAAGTATTTGAGTGTTAGCAATTCTTATGAAATCAAGCAACAAGCAGAGTGCTTCCAAGTAAAACTCGATTGGTGAAGAGTTTCTTAACATTAAAAGGACTTTGTGTACAAAACAACTGGAATATTCTGCTCCTCTTAAGAATATATGTAGATACTGCGTGGATTTAAAAGAGCTAAACAYATACAGGATAATATACTTCAAAGAGTACAATGACAATATAGATTAGCTGATAAAATCGGCTTCGGAGGCAATTTCTACCGAATAAAATGGCAAGCAAAATAAAGAGCTCTTCTCAAAGGACTATGATAAACCGAGAGATCACCTACGATGGCAGAGCTGCTCATCACAGACTAGGCACAAAATCAGAATTTTCTGGTAAAAATCTACAAAAATCTAAAATTCGCCCATCTACAGCTTCGTCAATTTTCCCGCCACTGGACACAAGCCGAGCGACGAGCGCTCCTTCTACGCCGCGACTACAACAGCGACCGMGTTTATCAAAAACATCAAGTTTAACATCGATAGATGTAGATGTCAACGTGAATAGGTTAATTGATCGAAGGGCGACTTATTACGGATCAGGAATCGCAACCCCTCCATTGTCGCCCGCATTGAGGCGAAAACTAATTAGAACGGATTGCATCATGAGAGAGGCGAGACTAAATATCGACGACTATCGACASAAAAATCGTTTATCGCAAGAACCGAAAAAATCGGTTGTCGATGCCAATTCTCTAGCACAATCTCTCGAAGAAGTTAAAAACTGTAGGTACTTGAGAACTGTTGAACACTCCAACTCTTAACGATTTCTCGAAGTTTCTTTTACAACTAAATTTCACATTCAATTCACATCATTATAATCAATAAGTGAGCTTATCATACAACTTGAAAAACCTAATCTCACTATATTTTCATATCTTATGCTATTATCAAAACTGTAAGACAAAACGATGAAATTTTTGCGGTTGAGAGTCGCCTTGAAATGAGATTACTACGATTTTACAAAGGGATTGTGGTTGAATATTTGGTTTGAAAAAAACAGTGGTGTGTGGTCAACCTCGTTCCCAGGCCTTCTCTGCTCTTTTTTTCGGAAAAAGCCCTGGGAATGAGCTTGGTATGTGGAATGAAACCGGGATGCAATTTGGACTGCTGTGGATGATTGGATGAGTTGAAATGCATGAAAATAACGGTTACCATATGTAAAATTAAGTCAAGCTTGATGTGCTACGCCTATATTTAGAAGGTAATGATTAAATATATAGTACATCTGAGTAACTCACCGCTATAATAAATCTACTTGTATCAATGACATTTTTAGAAGGTATTTTCCATGTCTCCTTTCTCTTTCCTCATTCTAAAAGAGCATGGAAACATTTAAAATATCTTCTAATGATTTTKTTAAGYAACAATTCTTTGCTTGAATATACAGTACATATAGTCAGGTACTCGTCAGATTGTATAAATTTATAATTTGCCTCACAATACTACCTTTAACTGCAATAGAGTTCTCAAGTGATGACGTCACAAAACGAAAATTTTTGAGTTTTTAAATTTGCCCTCTATATTCTGAAAGTGCATCATTGATTATGCATCCTTGCTAAATATGAGTGTCTTAGTGCCATTTATAGCCGAGATACAAGCGATTTTATGATGGTCGAGTGACCACATACAAACACTTGTAAATTTTGTCTTGTTCCTTTCGTTTTGAACAAGACCAAATTTACAAGCGTTTGTATGTGGTCACCCGACCATAAAATCTCTTGTATCTCAGCAATAAATGGCACTTAGCTAGGACACTGAAATTTGTTATATTTTGACAAATAGTAGTATTTTTGTGATGTCACACTTGAGTAGTCTATGATAACCATATATTATAACAAAATACCATATAGCACTTAATTATCTACATGGCTATGCAAAGACCTTACACACCTTGCAAATTTTCAAGCTTGTTCTATGTGATGTTGTTTGTGATACATGCCTGGCATTTGTTGTTCTATATGGCAAAAACAGTGTCAAAATGATGTAATCCCACCACACAGGTATAAACTTTTAGCATGCTGGAAAGTTTAAGAAGAAAT